TTTATTTAATTAAATTTTAATTTAAAATTTAAAAATCCATGGTTAATAGTTGCATTTGGAAATGGATTTTATTGTAAATATATAATCAGTTTTTAAATAAAAATATTAATATTTAATAAAATACATTTTTAAAATTTTAATTCAATTATCAATTTACTACAATCCTCATTCTCATTCTAAACTTGTACTTGATAAAAAACTTTAAAAATAAAAAGTTAATTGTAGATATATATGATTTATGAAAAACCAGTTGCTAATTATGATATTTTTTCTCAAGGTGTTATTTCAATGCCACGTTCTTCTTCTTTTGCCCTTTTAACACTTCCATTATGAGAGGAACAATCTTTTTTTTTCTAAATTTGAACAAGGCCAAGGATCTATATACCGAAGAAAGAAAATGTTATAAATCAAAGTCTTCACTAACTTAGATCCATGTTATTATTATTGATGCATCAAAGAAGAGATAAATTCATGAAGCTGCAAGGATCATTAACAAAAGACATGTTTATTTTATCCCATAATTGGGGGAAGATCAAGTCAAACCAATTTGTGTTCAAGTGAGAAATTTCGCAAAAGGCTTGATGGGAGAAATCTAAATAAACAAGATCAAGATAACTAAGTTAAACTTACAAGTTGACCCTTAAAGTCAATAGATTTATTGATTTTATAAGGTAACACGTAAAACTAAAGGCAAATCTAATTTTTGAAGTGGTAGTGAGGATGCAATTGAATTGATTGTGATGAGTTTCCCCATTAGACTTGGGTGCAAGGAATTTTCTTCATAAAAATGTAATTGAAGAACCATAGGCAATTGTAAAAAAAATTAGAAAAGAGATTCCTATCCACCCATTACATGATGATCTTTCCACACTATTTTTTTATTTTAAAATTTCTACAACTATTTTATTCATGGATTATTATTTTGTTTAGAAATTGACTCCCAGTTTGATTGGGAACTTTTCCACTCTTGCATTTCGTATTGACAGATACGTTCATCATATTTATTGCATGTCAATTTCCACATGCACTTGACAAATGTAGTCGAGAAAATGTAACTAAGGAAACTTGTAAGCAGTTGCAGGGAAGTGATGGATGAAGAGGATTAAAAAACTCCAGTTATTTTTAACTTCTTTATAAAAGGTGCAACATCAATTTACATACATCATATTTATTGCATGTCAATTTCCACACGTACTTAGACAAATGTGGTCAAGAAAATGCAACTAAGGAAACTTGTAAGCAATTGCAGAGAAGTGATGGACGGAAAGGATTGAAAAATTCGTGTTATTTTTGACTTCTTTGTAAAAGGTGCAACATCAATTTATATACACCATATTCATTGCATGTCAATTTCCACAAATTTGGTCAAAAAAATGTAACCAAGGAAACTTGCAAGCAATTGCAGGAAAGTGATGGACGAAGAGGATTGAAAAACTCAAGTTATTCTTGACTTCTTTATAAAAGGTCCAACATCAATTTTGCTACTTTTTGAAACAAATAATTTTCCACCAAATATATTTCTCTTTCTCCGAACTTTGGTTTCCACCTCTTGCCCACTCGGAAACATATGGTAAGTTGACTGTCTTTATTCTTCTTCAATTTCTATTTAAGTTTAGAAGAAAGTTTATTAAAAACTCTTGAATGTTTCCATATGTTTGAATCCAACAGGGTTTTCTAATAGAAAAAAAGAAAGGACTGAGAAATTGATGAAAGGTCATGGGATTTGAAATGACAACATTGCGTTTTCCAGATGTTCATACCAGTATAGTGCCACCGCAGCAAGGACATAGCAAATTCATTTTAGGGCCAAAAAGACAACAAAATGTAGTTTCACCATTTACCATAGCCTCTTCTTAAAGAATTGTAGAACAAAGACAGAATTACAAAGCACAAAGAGAAAAATTGGCAATTTTTTAAACTAGTAAAGAGAACACTACAACAAAGAGACAGAAGCCATCCAAAACGAAAACATTGTATCGAAAAGAGTAATTTTCATTTTTCAAGTAACTCGAACCTAGAAGGTCTAAAACATCAACTCTTTTAAGTGGTTTCTTCTTCGGGGCTTTCTTCATCTTAATTCCACTTTGATTTGGTTATCCATCAAACAAAGACAAACCATTTTGGTTTTCCAGTCCAAACGATACCCCACCAATAGTCCAAATACCACCCCACAACCATGGCCTAACAAGACAACTCAAAAAAAAAAAAAAAAACTATTTCAAGACTGAGAATAGTCAAATTTTTGAAGATATAACAAGACTGAGATAATGTGCATTCACGGTGAAGGTGAATAAAAATCAATCAATGTATAGAATATAATATTTCTTTAAGGAAAAAGATAGAGTTTAAGAATTTCCTCTATCACGTTTATACAGCCTAGGCATATGGAACCAATCATATACAACTTAAATAAAGAATCAAAATAATGCCCGCAAGCAAAACAAATCTCATTGGCGTAGGATCAAGATAAGTATCAAGATCAGTATCAAGATTTTTGTTGTAGAGTCCACCCATGCATTCTAAATACCCAACCAAGATGGTTGAGTTTATAATTATGCTGAAAACAATTATCCCACAAAGAAGAATGCCACATAAAAAATTCATTTATATAAAGGTAAACATTTGAACATGATGATATTTGACTTGTCATGAAGAGTACTAAAAGAGGTAAAATATAAAAATGATGCTCATCAGTGAGAATAAAAATGATGCTCATCAGTGAGCGAATATCTGCACCAGGGATAACATTTCACTCACATTAATCAGTAATTCAATTGGGTGTTCAAGATTTAGTCTTATTAACCTATACAGTTACCACAAGGATAATTTATTTTTTAGTAAATATGTTTAAACTTGAATGTTACACAAGAACAGAGCCTAGGAATTATTATTATCAGTTGCTAAGTTTCATTTCGCAAACTGAACCACCGAATGAAGCATCTCATAGGATGAACAATATAAAAGCAGATTCCTATATGAACAAATGCATGCCCTCATAATAGCAGTGATTTCAGAAAGTTACATGCAGAAGAGATCGCGTGATTGCTAGCTGCATGCATTTTCTTTTTAGTTTTTTAACAGAAATCCATTCTAAACTTTACGTACCTGTTAATTTCTTATATTTTTATCTTCCTAGAATGAATTGGAATGATTAATAAAAAGGCCAAAGATGCATTCTATATATCAAAGAATGTGAAGGTTATAAATAAAAGTCTCTTCATAAATTAAAATTTAGATTTATGCCATCATTATTGTTTTAAATTGAGTCCAACTATGAGTCATAAATAGAATGCTAACTAGATTTTCACCTAAGTTTTTCATCAATCAAGTGAAAAAACATAATCATCTTTAAAATCCTTAATTTTACTTAGATACAAAAGTTTGTGGCCATCAAGAATTGAGAGAAATACTTAAAATTAACTTTTTAAGTGTATTTTAGACAAGTTTTAAAAAAATTATACATCCAAAATTTTTTCAAAACTTAATTAATATTCACTTTAAAAAACAATTTTTAAATTTCCCTTAAACAAAATTTCAAACTTATAAATAGTACTTTAAAACAAATGTTTTTTAACATTTGCTAAATACCTTTAGTATATTTGAGAAGAGTCTTTTAAAGAAAAAATTCAAATACTTGCATTATGACAGGAGTAATGGGGTGAGAACAAAGTAAACTTTTTTAATTGTGGCTTTCATATAATATTAGAAGAGACCAGTGGATCATCATTAACCATAGAATATGCATAATAACATAATTTTTTGTTTAGCTAGGAATTGATTCTAAGAAAGCAATTACAAGGAAACATCTTAAATTAATGTCTTAAATTAATGTGACTGATTGTCATTATGTAACATTGAAGAGGAGCTAGTAAGTGGAATCAACTCTGCAAATGCAATGATTCTTTTGAGTCTTTTAGACATTATAAAAAATAACAAGCTAGAAGCAAAAAACAAAGTCTTTTCCAAACTGCATCAAAATTAGTGGGAAAGCAATTCAAATTAATTATTTATGATCATCAAGACTTGACCAATCAAAGATAGGCATATATATGTGTTTGGTTCCCCCTTTGAATCTATGGTTACAAATAGACCAAAAGGATTCACCCTTTAGCAAACAAATGCCATATTGATTAGATGAGCCTTAATTGGTTAATCTTTCTGGCTACTTTCTGACTTCTTTGAAACCCTTGTATAAAGTACGCAAAACCAGACTAGAGCAAGGCCCAGGAACATTATCAAAACAACAAATATCACAATGACAGGATATTAGATATTTATTTTGAACAAAAATGTATATAAAGAACACAATGAATTATCTTAATACAATTACTTATCATAATAGGAGCAAAAAAAATTAAATCATAGCACTAAATCTTCATTGTTGTCATGACAAAACTTTTCTCATCTTCAGTTATTAGGATTTGATGTTCAATTGTTGAAATTAGGAGATTTCCTACTACTAAGGACAAAACTTTTTAGTATTTTTGTAATCAAGGATATGACATTTATTTTATTAATCAAAACTAGTATTTTTAAAAATTTATAATTA